ACATCATCCAAGTAGTCATACAATAAATCTCCATTTTTAATGGAGGCTGATTCATCAACCAATTTCAAGGACCAAATACCTTGTGGGCTTTTGACAAGAAAGTTGATAGACACCTAATTTTGCCATCTGACCATCCATCTAACATAATAGTTCTCTTCCAAGCCTTTACATGTTCTTTCATCATTTTTTGTATATCCTCAACTTCTTGTATAAGCATCAAAGTCCTATCATGGCTTGTAGGAGCATTAAAATCGGTGCAAAATTATATACCGTTTTCATTGATTTAACATAATATTTGTTGTTTGTTGCATTGAATGGAATGACACTAATGTAGAACCATCCCGCAAGTGCTTGGTATGCTTGTTTTTTCCTATTTCTTGAAAGGTTTATTCAATGTGGTTTAACAAGCTTTTGATGAAACATACTTATCAATTGGTCCCCTTAACCTCGGTGGTAGAAAAGAACCAGTTTGTTCTGAAGGTGTGACACTCACATTCCCATTCCCACTCCTACTACTTACATATTGTGTCCTTCAGTCCATATTCACACTTTCACTTTCTTCTCCGCCACCACGAGACAACGTATGCCTAGCTTTCTTCTTTTCTTTAGATTCTTGAACATTAGCAAAGCATTGTGCCTTCACATTGGGTGAGACTTTTTTTACAACGAATCATTCCTCCTGAACTTACACAACCCAAGTGATGTTTGAATCTAGAAATTGAACCCATGCATTTGTAATTACAATAACCATATTAGAAGTGTTTGGTGATAGGATCCAAATCTTTTGTCCATTGCCAAGCAAAATCTTTCTTAGAAGAAGCCATATTCTTCAGTGCCTAAATAATAAATATTCAATGCATACAATTAATCAATTTTTGAATAAACAAAAACACTCAATGCATATTCTTCAATGCCTAAACAATATGTAGATCGTGAGTAACACCAACACTGTTCTATTTTTGAGTAGTACAAATAACTTTATGCTCTAACCTACATCAAAGAATCCAATACCACGATTGACAAAGGATAATAACCACAACTGGTCGCAATACCTAGTCTTTCACCACAAAGTAATCATTCAAGGTTTTGGCAATTGGTTTGTTTGACGCATGTGTTTTGTGGAAAGACGCGCAACAATAGAGCACACACAAACATTATATATCAAATAAAATAAAAAAATCAAAACCATAATTTTTGAAACCCTAACCTTAAAAATTGGGGATTTGTGGGCATCCTGAAGGCGGTGTCGTCGCTGGGTGCTGCGGTGGGGTGACGACAGTGCTACTTGAAAGGTGGTAGTGATTGTTGCTCAAAGCTGGCAGCGACTATGCTTTGTCGAAGACTCGAAGGTCACACAAGAGAGGAAATGAAGAAGGTAGAGAGAATATAACACATAGAAGGAAGATAGATGAGGGATAAGAGTTAATACCGTACCCAAATGGCATCGTTTTGGGCTTGGGAGGGTTTTTTAATTTTTTTATTCTTTCAAGACAAATAGAGACGCATGGACGCCCTGAGGCGCGCCTCCGCGGCCTCTGCGCACTCCAGCGACAAAAACAAAGGCAGAAACCCTAAACCCTAAACCCTAAACCCTAAACCCTAAACCCTAAAACAAAGGCAGAAACCCTCCCACGAGGCCGCCTAGGCACGCCCTAAAGCAAAATAACATTTCACATTGTCCAAGTTTTCCTTGAGCATCTCAGGTTCTTTAGAGAAGACAATTATATTGGCACCAAAATAAGAGGATGGCTTATGTGTGTTACCATACTGATACACAACCTTCTCACCCTTATCAGCATGCACAAGGTTGACATGGTTGATGATCTCATTCTTGTTGATTCTTCCTTCTTCCTAAGCACAAATGGAGATGAGTTCATCAAGTGTCCATTTCTCTTTTTGAGTGTTGTAACTTGTAAGACACCTTCAGTTGATCAAAGCTTGGTAGTAGGGAATTCAGTGCCATGTGCATGACAAGGCATCGTCCACAGGTACCTCCAAATCTTTGAGCTTTGCAGCGATTTCCACTAGCTTGAGTGTGTGCTCTCTTACACTTTTGTTCTCCTCAAACTTGGAAGTTGTAAGTGTAGTCATTAGGTTTCTCATTTCCGCTTTCTCGGACTCTTTGAACTTTTGCCCCAACTGCTTGTAGAAAAATCTTTGGCCTTGTCACAAGCTGCAACACCTCCTCTCATAGTCTCACTCATGGTCCTCTTCACGACCATCAATGACACCATGCTGGCTTTCTCCCATCTTTTAAATTTCATTCTTTGGTCAGTCATGGAATCATCAATCAGTGGTGTTGGTTCTTCCTCCCTTAATGCCAAGTCAAGATCCATCAGACCCAAGACTATCTCTATATCCTATTTTCACTTTTTAAAATTTCCTTCATTCAGTGGCTCAATGGAGGAAAAATTCACAACAGATGTGTTCACTGTCAAAGACATGTTCAAACAATTGTTAGTGGTAATTTAATGCATGTTTATATCACACCTTTCAGTAAGAGATATAAACTGCCATTTGAATGCATAGCCATCTTTACATGTTCTTAGCATGTCACTACTTCGAGTCTTTGGACAAGAATTTATACTAATCAACAAGATACCATACACTGATTCAAAACTCTCATCCACTGATACATCTTTTTCTTTGAAAAAGAAAGCAGACATTGCATGATTTTTGCATCACATGGTGCATGCGGTTTTGTTATAATCGTTTCTTATCCTTCCAGTAAGATACAAACAATGTTAAAAAAATATTAAATTAGCCTACTGCAGCAAGCGAGATTGAAAGCACAATAACTGAAATATATGAAACAATTCGTTGGATCCACGGCCAGTTAGTTTGGTTCTGATACCTATTGTTGGAGTAAATATGATATACTAACTGAGAACCCTAGAACACAAACATGTGTAATAGTTGTGAAACCCTAACCTGTCGAAGACATGTTGGTGATTCAAGAGAACTCTGCTACTCACTTAGAGACCTGAATATTCTAATGTGATAGTCCCAGACGAAGAACATGTTCTCTATGAGTAGGGAGTTCGCTTATATATAGAAGCAAGGTTGCCCAACTTCTGTCTATCATGGAAGTTGGTTATAGTGCCGTTGCCCTTCAACTCCAGTCATGGTGGAAGTTGTCTAACATGTTCTAAGTCGTTTTTTTTTTTTTTTTGCACGAGCCATAGATACCTCATATTGATGTTGCTCTTCGAGTTGTTCGTTATTTGAAGTCCGCTCCGGGTCAAGGCTTATTATTCCGTTCAGACAACCATATTAAGTTATTAACTGCATTTTGTGACTCTGATTGGGCAGATTGTCCTATTACTCGCCGGTCGACTACTAGGTATTGTGTATTCCTGGGAAATTCTTTGATTTCGTGGCAGACAAAGCGACAAAAATATTTCACTCTCTTCAATTGAAGGAAAATATAGGGCTATGGAAGGTGCTTGTTGTGAGGTAATTTGGCTTTGGTTTTTGTTGAAAGATTTGAACATTCCTTTAGTTAACTCAAGCGGTGTTGCATATAGCAGCTAATCCCGTTTTCCATGAGTAGACTCATCATATTGAGATGGATTGTTACCTTATACGAGATAAGATTGCAAATGGTACTATAATGACCAAGTATGTCGGTACGACATACCAATTGGGGGACCTGTTCACGAAGCCTCTCGAAAAGGAAAAGTTTTCGACTATGTTGCGCAAGTTGGGAGTTCTTGACATCCACTATCCAACTTGAGGGGGAGTGTTAGACAAATAGGAAAATAGTTAGAATTAAATTACGATTGTATTCCTAACTTGTAGGAGGAGTTCTTGCTATGCAAGGAATGTAATTGTTTGTATACTTATTCACATATCAATAAAATATACTTTCAGCCACATATTCTTTTTCTACACAGGGTGTCTATCAGAAGAATGGCAACTTGTTTTTTCGTACAACAATCGAGAAAGCATTGGCATCTGAACAAAGTAACAAGTTTTGCATCGAAACTGTGGTAATTCTCTGTTCGTTTAAACTTTAAGCAGCTGAAATTTCCTTCTTCAGTGCTTATATTGTGCAGAACAAATTGATTTGGGTAAGGCAAGACTAGGAAAGCTGAATTCTTCTTGATATGACTTGGCTTCGGAAAATAGGAAGTGCTATGTTGTTCTTTAGGGTATAACATATATTGGGGGTGGGGGGAATTAAACTGAGAACCGTGGGTGCATGGGTAAATGTTCTTAACTAACTGAGCAACAAACTCCGTGTAGGAAGTGTTATGTTTTGAAAAAAGAGAATTTGGGTAAAATCAGTAGTTATGGAATAATCATAAATTGTAACTCCTCAATATAATATAGAGAATCACAAGGAGCATCGTACAAGAAGATACTAATAGGAGGTTTTAGTGTCTCAAATGGATACAAGGGGAAGTCCTTGTAACTTGGATACATCACACATGGTGTATATGAAATTAGCTCTGCATCGAGTAAACATTGTTTTGTGATTTAAGTATATATTGTTGTCCAACTGGTTTATTGCAAAATTTGAAATAAAAAAAATTTCCATCTACTTTTAGGAGTTTTGGCTATGATGTTTTGATAATATTTCAAAATTTTGTTTTCTGTGAACATCTCAACATATATATTACTTGTTTAAATGAAAGCTATACCTAACATTTTTCTCTCTATGTTTGTTTCCCCCCAAATCTTAGTATTCCTCTCATAGGTTTAACCAAAATTCTAATAGGTAAGGAGCTATCTGGTTGCAACAAGTTAACTGAAACACTAATCGATTGCTTGGCTAGCTATGAGACCAATGCCAAAGACTTGAGCTTGCAAAGTTTGGGGTTAAGGAAACGGTTTTGCTCCAATCCATCCCTTTAAGGTGCATTCCTTCCGGTCCAGGATAAATCATCTGTGCAAATTTTTTGTTGTTTGTGTTTTTCTTTTATGCATCAAACTATAAGTTGCGAGTAAAGAGAAATGACTATGTCATGGTCTGACCCTATGAGGAACGAGTCAAGTAGTGTTAAGGAAATTTAGAGGCAGTTACAAGGATGAACTAAAGTGGTTAACTTCCAAAAGACAACTATTTATATACGATAAGTTCAAACACCATTCTCCTTGTACTTATTGTGCAGCCACAAATACCCAACTGACGAGACTTAACTTTTTAATCCAAAAGGTATATATAATCAAGTCTTTTAAATAGACCATAGAAGGCTTGAACTGAGAACAAACTTGCAGCTAAACGAACTAATGGCGCGCTTGTTGAAACAACACAACAGTAAAAGTCAGAAGGGATGCATAAACTGAATTGGGTAACCTTTGCACGACCTTTCCAACCCCCGGTACACCCTCGGTAGCCCTCTTTGTCGCCATTGCAAACGCCGGTGCTGCAACCAGTGTGATGATCAGTCCTTGACTGACAATAATGAATGTGTCCGCTGTCAACTGCTTGATGAAGTTTGCAAACTCTTCGCGGTCAATTTCTCCATCAAGATTGAGATCGTTTTCCTGCAAATATTAGGGGTAAACATTATTAGACGAATCAAACGAGTTTGCTGAAGACAAATCATTGATTCAACATTTCTAGAAGAGAATATGATAGTAATTTATAACGCACCACAAAGTAGCACACAATAATCCTATTAATTTTCCTTATTAACACTAAGATTTGTCAATTGTAGCATATGAAAATAAGGGTCTTTCCCGCAGAAGATTGTTTTATCCAAATACTTAAAAATGTCACAAAAACAGGGTGGCTGTCTCCACTGACCAGCCACCGAACAATAATTATTAAACTAACTTACACTTATCCAAATGCAACGAAATTTTGTACTCATAAACTAGACACACAGTACGACAGTCTCACAAATTTTTGGGATGTTTGGAGTTGATTTGCTATTTAAATTAAATCGTACAAAAACAGTACAGAAACAGATTTTAAATAATACCAATAGATTTTAATTCACAAGTTAAGAAAACGAGTTAGGGGACATGCTATCCACCACCAAATAATCATGTAAGTATGTTATGTTTCATTCAAATCCCTTTTATTTCCGGATGAAGATGCTCAAGTTGGCTCACTGTTAGAACTCAACCTATTACTCTTTCTTACGGAGTATGTTAAGAGAATGGCGTTTTCAACTTAACTTAGTCCCTAGCATGCAATCTAGAATGGTGTGTTCATAGATTTAACAAGTAGAAATCATTAAGAATAAAAAGAGTTTGAGTCATCACAAGGCATCGTAAGTACTGGCGTTGTCTTACTTATCCTAGAAATCGGTTCACATGTTAACCACAATTAACAAGTGCTACTCTAGAACATATGTAGGTCCTCATTCAACAAGGGCAGGCAGACATATATTCATAGCATTAAAATCCTAAATATGCTCACTATGTATGCATCCATAGAAACACATAAAGAATTTATCAATGACATAAGTAGTGAAACAATTTTCATCCTTTCATAAAAGTCATTCAAACAAATATCACAACATACTTACAATCATATTCGGGGCTTCAAAACAGCCCCTATCTACTAAAAATTAGTTACACATAATTATCAAATTAAACCAAAAGTAAAACATGAGTTTGAGAAGACAAAACCAAGAAAAATAGAGTGGAGTTTTGCTCTCTGCCGTGCTTCTTTCTCTGTGCGCCCTGCCTCGCACCTCTGCTCTCTGTGCTCTATCACTTCCTCTTCTGCCCGTCAGTCTCTCCCTTTGCTTCTTTTATTTTTTTTTTATCTCTAACAGTTTTTTTTTTCTTTCGTTTCTGTTCTCTCCGTCTTCTCTCTTGTCCGAGTCTTTTTATTCATGCGAGCTGCCTTGCTGCAAGAGGCAGCTTTCCTTTTCTTTATTTTCTTCCACGCTGCCAAGCAGCTGTTATTCCGCACCTTTCACGTTCCCTGCACCTTGCTTCTGCTGCTTCTGCCCCCGTCCTCTTCCTTTTCTGCGCCTCACGTCAGTTCTCTTCTCTCCCTCACGCTGCCAAGGCAGCTTTTCTCTTTTTTTTTTTATATCTTTCTCCTGCAGTCCGAGTGCTCCCCTATTTCTTTTGCTTTTATGCTTCTTCTTCCATCCCATTATTCTTCTTTTCCTTTTCTTATTCCTTCCACTCTTCCTTTTATTCTTTCTTTTGTTTTGTTTTTGTATTCCTTCTTTTCTTTTTGCTGAGCCTCACACTGCAAGAGAATAACAAAAGTTCTTTTTCTGCTGCCCAAGGGCAGCTGCACTGCTCTTTTGCTTTCACATGCACGTTTTCTGCCTTTTTGCTTTCATCGAAAACCTGCAAATGCAACCTCATAAAATAAACTGGCAGAAGGAATAAGAAATCATGGCCAACTTATAAAAAAAATGTTACACATTAATACTGAAGGTTAGAAATTAATGAAATACAAGACCCTTAACAAACTCAAAGAAATTAATGAAATACAAGACCCTTAACACAATGTAAGGTAAAATGCCACAATTTTAACACAAAAACATCACAAAGACTTTAGAAATGGATGATATAAATGCATGAAATATATGAGTGATCAAATACCCCCAAACTTACATTTTTGCTAGTCCTCGAGCAAAACAAAGAAAACATGAAAAAGTAATAACATGAAAAACATTAGTTTCCTCCTATGTGACCCTCATAGAATTTTATTCAAGAAAACAAATCATCAAGAACCATAGCTAGCATCAAGGAACTAACCCAAGTTCATCTTCCTTATTCAAATATTAGCAGTAATCTTTGAATCATCCTTGAAGTGTAGTGTGTGAGATAGCCATGCTAATGCAATTTCAAAATTTTTATATTTTTAAAATCATCATATGCAAACTAGCAACCTTCTCACGGGATATACACTCAATCACACATGTGTTTAGTTTAAATGGGTTTCGCTCAAAGAATCAAATGTGAAATTTCTACCATAAGCTTGCATAAAGATCTCATCTCCACAATCGTAATTGCAAAACTTAAATCAAGAGGACTTTTATTGGATGTAATGAGGTTTAGGGAGAGGGTTATTGAAATGAAAGAATAGGTAAACACAAGTTCCAAGCTACATTACAAGCAATTCTTTTTTTTAGATTTATAAGAACTCAACCTTTCCAACGATTCTTTTAGCACCTCCAACCATACCCTTAAACTGAAACTTTGAACAACTTTTTATTTTCTTTGTGTACAATCTTTCTTTTTCTTTTTTTTTTTTTTTTTTTTTTTATATATACAAACATGAAATACCCCCACACTTATTCTTTTGCCAAACACCTTCAAAGTACTTCATAAACGTTTCTCATAAGACAATCTCGCATTGCTCGCTTGGAAAGGGTAAGGAAAAAAATGTTTCAGGTACAAGGGTAGACATATCTGGTGATAAGAAATAGAAAAGCTCAACATACACGGCTCAAATTGGCAATCTAATGATATCATTTTTCTTTGGGAAACATTATTTGGGCCATAGTGGTAAACCTAATGCCTCTATCATTTCCAAATTCATGCAATCAATGACAAACATTTCGAAAGATCGTTACGCAAGTTCTAGAGATGTATCTCACATAAGTTCATCACACATGAAAGAATAGGAGTATATGAAAAATGCACACACTTTCAATAGGCTCAAAAACTCACATAGGATGTATATGGTCACTAAATTCACATATGAAGCTTTAAGTCATGCTTTAGTTTCACATCAACAAGGCTATGTGCATTTGGTTTTTCAAAGATGATCAAACATGTACAAAACTAACAAGAGAATTATGAATTTCACAAAACACATGTTAACTAAGTTCTTGATGATCATGGTTCAAATTTGATCTAATTATATCATTGGGTCGGGAAACTAACAAAAATCTAATTTAAAACAATAAGGGAAACAAGACAATATTTTTGGATTTTTAAATTTTCCGATTTTTTAAATTTTTTTTTTTATTTTTTTAAAAGAAAACAAAACTAATTAAGAAAACAAAAAGCAACAACATGGAAACAAATGAAACTTGTTCGTAGTTGAAGGTACAAAAAATTTCAATTTGGTCATTTTTTATACTCTTTACCCCCAAACTTAAACCGGACATTGTCCCCAATGTCAGAAAACACTATAATGCAAATAAAAATAAAATAAATAAATAATAAGAAACAAAATAAAGCAATTGGACTGAAAACTTCCCTAGTTTGCAGTAAAACCAAGCGATGACCCCCCAAGCTAAAATTCTGTAATCAACTTCAAAGGTGGAAATAACCAAAAGTTCCTGCAAAGAAAAGAAATAATTCAGTTAAGTAACGCAAAATGTAAATTAAGAAATTGCAAACGAAAAATTGAAAATCACGATAAAAGACAATGAAAAGAACTAATAAGTGATCATTGGTCGTGCTTGTTGACTTTCCACAGCTTTCCTCTTGAACGGGGTGACACTTAGCTTTTTACTTGCAAGTGATGATTTGATGATATTGTACGGCGAAGCTTTGCTCTTTGGTGATGTTGCAGTTCCTTATTTGTTCTCCAAGCAGATGTGGCAGCTTCTCTAGTTCTTCATCTCAGACTCATTCTGCTGGGATGATTGTGCAAGCTGCATTCTTCTCTGCTTGTTTCTTCGGCACATTGTCTCCACATGCTGCTGGTATCATTTTCGCTTGCCTTATCTGTTCTTCAGGTAGATGTGGCAGCTTCTTTGGAAGTACATCAGCAGTGGAAGACGAGTACTCGAGAGCAATTTCTCCATGTCCTGCAGGTTAGAACAAAGACAAGGAAAAGGACATGGAGAATGCATGATATGAGATACTCTTGCTTTCAACCTTTATGATATGAAATACTTTTGCTCTGGATGGGTTGTTTGCAGGGGTATCCCAGGGAATGAGGAATACAGAGTGACTCGAGAGGGTTCTTTGGGAATGCATTCTCGGAGATGAAGAAGTGCTGAGAGGGTGTGCCTTTGCTGTGGAAGGCGAAGGTAGATACTTATAGGACTTTTCTTCACAACCGGAACTATTCCCTCACTCATTGTCGGCAGCCGGTGGATGGATGAATAGTACAAATTACGCGCTTTCTGACAAAGCAGCCCGTAATTTCCGCAAAGCTGCCAGTTGCATGTGACGAGTGACAACACGTCTGGACAATTTGATCTTTGAAATCCGGGGTTCGGCTCGTGGTTTCTGAGCAAGCCCATTTTTTGAGAAATGAAACGCCTCTTTTGAGAAAAGAATCCGGCTTTTGAGAAAGGAGCCCCGACTCTTCGATTTGCGAGAGGACGCCTCTCTGAGGAGCGCCTCTTTAATTTCTTCTTTTTATAGAGGCGTTAATTTTGTTCCACAACACACTTGAGCTCCCTCCTGTAAACACTCCCTCCTTGCACTTCCAAAATCTTAATCAGCCCGACTCTTTTCTTTCTTCACCACCTCTGAAAAATGTCTGGCCCTTCCGATCGTCGTTTTGACTTGAACATTGGTGAAGAGGCAGCTCCGCCTTCACCAGACAACATATGGCGCCCATCTTTCATATCCCCTACCGGTCCCCTTACCGTGGGGGA